GTTTTGGCTTACCCAGCCCAGAATAGCCAAAAATATCTTCTCACATTAAGAAGTGATTTTTAGTTTTTGCTAATCTCTCTAGCCCTGTGGATGTGAAATTGGGAGATACTAAAAATAGTCCTGATCCTCAGAACATGTCTAACCCTGATACATATCCCTGAAGGGTGATCGGAGGAGAAAACCGTTTCCCATCTGAGATGAAAGCAAATAACTTCCTTGCTCTCTATATTGGAGAGAGGGAGTGAGACCATGCTGAAGCCAGTAGCCATGTTAGGAGAAGTTGGGGTTTTTGTTGTTTTTTTTAAAATCACCTGAATGTCCTCCCTTCGCTGGTTTCATCTCAGGACATCATGCAGACTTCTTGCTGTGGTGTGCCTTCAAATCATTTCCGACTTTAATAGCATGGGGTTTTCTTGGCAAATTTCTTTAGAAGGGGTTTGTCATTGCCATCCTCTTGAGTTTGCGTGTGTGTGACTTGCCCAAGGTCACCCAGTAGGTTTCCATGGCTGAGCCGGGATTCAAACACTGGTCTTCCAGGGTCCTAGTCCAGCACTCAGGCCACTACACCACACTGGCTCTGTTCAGGTACTATGAATTTAACATGAATTCATCAATCCAGGATCCCCCTTCTCTCTTCCAACCTCCCATCCCTCAAAAAAAAAAAAAAAAAAAAAAAAAAAAAAAACAAACAAACAAACAAACAAACAAACAAACAAACAAAAAACCCAAAACAATCAAACAAAGAAACCCAAACCATTGCTTTTCATAATGGCTTGCTATGCTTATAAGGTCTCAGATGCTTGCAAACATTTTTGTGCCCTTTTGATAGTCCTAATAAATGTGTTGCATTGAACATTGGACTATAATTCTGAAGAGCAGGGTTTGAATACCAGCTTGCCATAGAAACCCACTGGGTGACTTTGGACAAGTCACATTCTCTCAGCCTCAGACATTGGCAATGGCACACACACACACATCAAAGAAATTTGTCAAGAAAAGCCCATGATAATTTCACTTTAGGGTTGCCATAGGTTGGAAATGACTTAGAGGCACATAACAACATTTATATGTACTTGTGAATTTTTCTTATGGCAAACATGGTTATCTTGGCTTTTTAGAAGTGTTTGCAAATATAATCTAGATCAGGGGTAGGCAACCTTTTTGAGCCGGGGGCTAGGTTGCTGTCCCTCAGACAATTGGGGGGCCGAAGCACCAAAAATAAATAAATAAATGAATAAAAATAAATTTTTATTTAAAAAAAATAATAAAAATATGCATGCACACTCTCTCAGCCCCAGAAAAGCCATGGCAAAACCCCTGTGGAGATTTTGCCAAGAAAACCCCAAGAACAAGTAATAACAACAATAATCAATATCATTATGGTAGGCAGCGGCGGCAGGACCGGCCGGGGGCCAGTCCAAAGGCCTCGGGGGGCCGCATCCGGCCCCTGGGCCTTAGGTTGCCTACCCCTGATCTAGATTCTGTAAATTGTACAAATGGTCTTTCTCATGGTTCAAACCATTGAATATTAGTAAAAGAGATCAGGCAGGCCAAACCATTTGAACTACTTCACGAGAAGGTGCATGATTGTTTTAGCTGGCCACTGAAGTAACATCTGTTAATTTGTTGCTCTGATATCCTTTATCAGGAAGTCTCTCTACTTGAAAATAATGGCTTTAAGGACACATTATCCGAGTCTTTAGAGATAATTCTGTTAACATGTAAATTTAATCAGTATAACTACAGACAGATGAATTATGAAAGAAAAGAAGAAAAATACCCATCATCACCTCCATGGCTGGTTACCTTTTTTTAAAAGGTTTTATTTCTGTGAGTACATGGGAAGGATTTTCATACTGGCCACTAGAAATAAATTTCTGGTCATTATGGTGACATTATTTATGGACACTGCCAAGGAGGACCTCTTTACTTACACACATTGTCCTCTTTGCTGCCATTTTGATACTTGCTTGCAGTGACCTTGTCACTCCTCTCATGGGACTCCAGAGTCTGTGGCAAAAACCACGGACTCTGGAGTGGGAATCGTTCAACCCTCCAGATGTATTTGGTGAATTAGTGTGAATGCTGGGTATTACACTTGTAGTTTTGCCCTTTTCGACATCTTTTATCTTAAAAGAGTTAAGGTTCTTCTAGGAATGCAGCCATCTCTGTGACGGCAGTAAAGCACTATGTGTATATGCACCTTCTAATAGCCTGTTACCTTGTGGTGTCCTCATGAATTTTACAGAGTTTTGTTAGGCATGGAATACTATGTGGTGATTTTGTCAGTTCCTTCCTCTGAGATGTAGCCTATAGTATTGGGTATTCATTGGCTGTCTCCAACCCAAATACTAACGAGAGCTGACCCTGCTTAGCTTCCAAAATCAGACTGTATCTGATCCTTTTAGGGTATTTAGGCAGTAAAGCAGTATCTTGTATCAAGAGTCTTCAGAACTGATATCCAAGATCACAGTTTGAAAACTAAAATGTTTTTCAAAACAGAGCAGTCAGGTGACAGGTGTTGACACAGGAAAATAAAACTCCCCTGATCTCAAAGCAGCTTGCTAGATTAGAAGGAATGTTATGAGCCTCAGCTTTGGTGCACTTAACACTACTTTTTCCCCCCTCCAGATGGCATCAGAGCGGGAGAGTTCTGGAAGTTCAGGGAGCTCTGGCGATCAGAAGGAGGAAAAGCAGTAACTTGCAGTCTTGCATAGATTGGAGCTGGAAGAGGACAATGTTCCAAAGCTTGGGAAGCAAGGGAACTTCCTGAGCAGCTGTGGGCAGACTTATGTCTTACTGTGTTTTTGCAGTATTCTATACATAATTTCCTGAATGTA